CACATGGAAAGACCCTAAACCGTACTTCCTTGACACTGCAACCGTGTACATGCTATCTACCCGCCGCCAATTTGCCGAAGCCGAACAGAATCTTGATGCCCAGGTGTTGACCCTGCGGGATGAGGACCACGTTATACCTGGGCGAAGGTTCAGGGCGGAGTCCTCAAATGGAGCTTCAGCCCTAATCTTCTTAAGCACATGTATGAATGTCTGTATGTCTGCATGATTGTGTGTGTGTGCCTGTCTGCCTGCCTCCCTGCCTGCCTCTCGTTCTCGCTCTCCCTCTCGCTCTCGCTCGCTCTCTGCCCCTCTCCCTCCCTTCGCCCTTGCCCTCGTCTTCGCCCTCGCCCTCGCGCTCCCCCTCGTCTCTGCCTGCGCCCTCGCCCTCGCCCTCTCCCTCTCGCGCTCTGCTCGCTCGCTCTCTCCCTCTCTCTCTCTCTCTCTCTCTCTCTCTCTCTCTCTCTCTCTGGTATGGGGACGGGTCAGCGTCCCCGGGCCTCAGGCCCACCCACTACCTTGAGTGGGTTTGCGGGGAGTGAGAAGAGAGCGGAATGTTTTCCCGTTTGTGGCTAAGGCCTTTAAAGTGTACGATAACGGCATGCGGGTACATTACCACTCTTGCAGAAAGCTCGCCTCCAGAAAGGATTACGTCCCCGGAAGGCCAGGTCAGGGGTAGAGCAAAAGTTTTGTCGAATTTAGCTTCCCCGTAAGAAATGACCACGCGTGCACTGAGACAGGTTGAGCGATGACGGATCGATGGCCCGAAGGCCCAGGCTGCAATGTGCAGACAAATTACAAATCAGATTACAAGTCAACTCGAGAAGAACCCCGTGGGGTCTCGTGAGGTTTGTAAAAAGTTTGGAGCGATGGGTGGTCGAAACCACCTTTGAAAATGTCTCTGGGTTGCGCGGGTTGCAGGCTCCCCCGACAAGGAGCAGAAAGGTTCCGATTTGTGTAAGGAGGAGAACATGGACAAAACCTAAAGAGCTGACTCCCCCCCTTACACATGACAGTACCGTGCACGCGAATTTTGCCACTCATTGCTTGCACGTAGGTCAGCGTCTCCCCCATCTGTCACTCGAGGGCTGTGCTGCTTGGCCGGCTTTGGCACTTCTTCGGGCTGCCTTCCGCTTGGCGCGGTACTTCAGCTTGCTTTCGACTTTCCAAGCTTCCTTGGTGCGTCCCCCATACACTCGTGGGTCCGAGGCCATCCGTTGTCCCCCGCTTGGCTGGGGTTTCCGTCTCAGCAAGGTCGCGGTCTTTGGCGTGGTAGAGTTTCTTCCCTGCTGGCCACACTGGTGTGACTGGGGCCTGTGCTCCAAGGTGCGGTGGAGCCAAGTTTGGTGAGGCTCCCTTCATATATAGGCACACTTCGTGAAGTAGTCCCTGCCGGCAGGTCGTCATAAACAGGCTCCTCGTTATTGGGGTCGGTTTCCCCCTCATCCCCCGAGGGGTGGAAGGGAAGAAAACTCTCCCGGCAGCTGGTGTTTTCCTCGTCCGGGTCGTTCTCGGTCAAGGCCGATGGCGTGGTTGTAGCAAGGGTGGGCGACTACCGAGCGTAGGGTGGCGTCCATGTATGCGGTAATACCGCCGCAGCTGACGGGCCTTGCGGCGCACTTGTTGTTGTGCGGTGGCTTCCCCCACCTCTCTCTAGGCCTCCATTTCCACCTCGTTATAGGAGCGTGCAAGCCAGGAGGGCGTCAAAGACTGGCTGCGAGGTCACCGGCACCTGGTTGCTCCGGCTCTGCCATTGTAGCTGGGGCCTTCCCCCGGAGCGGGTGATCCACGTGAACCGGTTCTCCGTGAACTCATCTATCAGGGCTCGCCAGGCCCTTCGTAGGGGCGTGTCCCCCGGCAGCGGTATTTCACATAGTTCTCCGTTGTCATCCCCACGCTGCATTTCCCTTGCCCTGTCTACATATGCGGCAGGTTGCCGGTCCCATCGTATCTGCCATTCCCCCAGGTGAGAGGGGGCCAATCCCACCAGGAAGATTTCGATCTCGCCCTGCCTGCCACTATCACGATCTGGTAGATGAAGGTCTCCCCAGTCCAGTCCGGAAGTACTTTTGGAACGGCTGTCGGGTCCCCGCGTACTTTGAGAAGAGCCGGCTATTGGCTTCCGAAATTTCCCCCGATCAGGATCTTGCAGTATTCCCCTCAAAGAAGTCGCGGAAGTGTCACGTTCTTTACGATGAGCTTGTGATGGCTCAAGGCACCCCGCTAGTCACCGTTTACTTTTTGGAGAGGCGGGGGGTCCGGTCCCGTGGGCACAGTACGGGCCTTCCCCCCACAACCTCCCCCTCGAGCAGGTAAGGACGTCGAGGATGGCGAAGTCGATGAAGGCACCTTGAGCCAAAATGTCTACCTCTCTGTCTCCGTCTATGTCCGTTGTTTGTCTGTCTTCCTGCCTGCCTGCCTACCTGCCTGCCTGGTTGGCTGGCGGGCTGGCTGTCTGTATGTGTGCACGTATGCATGTATGTAAGTATGTATGTATGTATGTACAGTATTTGCATATACTCAGTAATTACGTATGCACGTGCATGTATGCGTGCACATACATATGCATACAGTAGGTATGTATGTACGTATGTACGTATGTATGCATGTAAGCATGTAAGTTGTAAGTATGCATGCATATCCGCACATATGCATAAGTGTATGTGTGCCAGCAGGCATACATGCATGAATGTAAGTACCACATATTCGGGTTTCGTATCATGGACTGCGGTATTTCTCAAATTGAAGGGGTCGCTGGCTCTCTGCATGGGTGTCGGCTTCGATGACTTGGACTTCGGAATCACGTCTTGCTATTCGGGGTTCAGGGCTCAATTTTTAAGGAGCGGTGATACTACCATACAACTTGGTCAGCCTTCGCCACCGTTCCTGACATTCTGTTGAAGCGCTTTTGCCGCTCTGGCGGGCCTCAACCATACAACCCTGAACCCTTGCCTCTAATTAAGGTAAACCTCAAACCCTTACCTCTAAACCCTAAAATCCCTAAAAGCCTAAACCCAACACGGCTTCAGCCGCGAAACGTCCCGGAAGTGTTTCGCAGCTTCGCCCAGATGGGCGTGACAACAAAAGATGATGCGAAGGACGTGTCGGCGAAGGACGTGTCGTTCCTTTGCAAATACTCGACCTGCTTGAGCGGGCTTGGGGAGTTGTCTTCCCCTCAGGGCCTTAAGGTGCTGCGACAAGTGGCTTGCATCCAGAGTTTACACTAAGCCACAATAAAACAACACATGCGCCACAACATCTTCTGAATCCGCAAACCAACAGACACAACACCTCATATGTGTAGGACCTATAATAGGACATCGTACAGCCACATAAATTCCTCAACATCGATCGAGATCAAGTGAAACCCAAACTACACGAAACAAATTGTATTCGGCCCTATGCAAGCAACCCACGTACAAGGGCTACCTGCATGAAGGAGCCTCTATAGAACACTTAGCAGCCCTGGTCGCCCCTTATCGTCTGCCTCATAGTAACCCCTTGGCCCTAAATTCTGAACCTCAAAATCTAAACTCTAAACCTTAAATTAAAACTTCGAATGTCCTAAACACGAAAACGTCAACCAACAATTTCAACATCGAAACCCTAAAACCCTTAGCCCGTAACTTCCCGAAGCCTACCTGCCATTCGGCGTACTTTGCGAGCTTTCCGCTGGCATGGTCAATGACTGTGCTCGAGCCTGGACCATCCTGAGGGTGGTTTCTGTATTATTGTCGGCTTATGGTTCGGGGACTGTTAAAGATCCGGAAAGAATTCCTTACGGGAGGTCGAGGGTCTAAGGTTTAGGATTGAGGGCTTAGGGTTTATAATCATCCATAAGGGGTCCTTAACAACCAAGGGTTTGATAACAAGTGTAGAAAGAGTCCCTTTAAGGAGTTCTTTAGGTTCACTTAGATTTCCCGGTTCTTGTAAATCGTCTAAAGTCTAATGTGGCGGCCCGTTTAGGAACATGGGCCTCTTTAATGCGTTTTTTTCCTTGTTCAAGCCGGGTACCACAAAAAACGGCGGCCTACTGAATGTTTTTTTTTGTTGGCTGGGGTGGATTTGGGGGGGTGGCACCCACGACCTAAACCCCCGCCCAAACCCTGAAACCCTGGCCCTGAAGCACGAAACTCGCCCTAAACCCGAAACCCCACCTTCTTAAACCCTCCTCTCGCCCTACTACTGTACTACTACTGTGCTACTACTGTAATACTATTGTACTACTGTAGTACTGTACTACTACAATCAGGAATGGAAATCTCTTGCAGAATCTCTTCGCTTATTGGGGAATTTGTACTGTGCTACTACTGCACTACTACTACTACTACTACTACTACTACTACTACTACTACTACTACTACTACTACTGTAATACTACTGTACTACTACTGCACGACTACTGTACTACTGCTGTACTACTACGGTACTACACCAGGCCTCAGACGTGGTCAATTCTGTAGAGGAGTTTTCGTGGGAGGCGAAAGTGTTCAAAATGACGGGATTTTAGTCTTGGTAGTTATCTTGGAGTCATCGGGGTTTGGGTTTCCAGCTTTTGATCCCCAAACCCCGCTAAACAGCTCCCGGTACTCTTTAACCCCCGTACTGTAGTACTGATGTACTACCATTGTATTGCTGCTGTACTACTACTGTGCTACGGCTGTACTAATACTGTACTACTACTGTACTACTATTGTACTACTGTACTACTATTGTAGCATTTCTGTACTACTACTGTACTACTACTGTACCACTACTGTACTACTACGGCACCACTACGGTACTACTACTGTACTACTGCACGACTACTGTACAATTACTGTACTATTACTATACTACTACTGTACTGCTACTGTACCGCACCAGGCCTCAGACGTGGTCGATTGTGGAGGGGAGTGTCGGTTGGCAAAAGTGTTTAACATGAAGGGTTTTAAGCCTTGGTAGTTATCTTGGAATGATCGGGGCTTGGTTTCGAGCATTTGGTGAGAACCGCAGACCCTGCATCCAAACCCGGGACCTCCCAAAGCCGAGACCGCGCCGCTAGGACACGGGTGGGGGGGGTTAGTTCTTCCGGAGTATTGACCCCCCGCCCCCAGAGGCGGGGAGGGGGGGGGAAAGAATATGAGGGGGGGGGGGGTTCGTAGTCCGGGGGGGGGTTCATACTCCAGGAAGGAGTATTAAGAGGGGGGGGGTCATGGTCCAGGAGGGGGGGGTTCATACTCCATGAGTATGGAGGGGGAAGATTCATAGTCCAGCAGTATGGAGGGGGGGGTTATATTCCAATATGGAGGGAAAAAAAGCGTTCGCCAACACAAGAAGGAAAGAGCCACATGCAAACACTTCAGGGGTTGAAAAGCAAGGAAACACAACTGAGCAGGAATCATTTGGCAGGTTTGCAAAAGGGGAAGGGAAGGGTAAGAACGACAACCCGGGGGGGGGGGTGTTGTTTTCTCAAGAATGCGGGGAACAACATGCGGAGGCGGGGTTGTTGTTCTTTCAAGAGGGAGGGAACAACAACGAAGGCGGGAGATTGTTGTTCGCTCAAACTACTACTACTCTAACCACTAGTGATTTATCTGCAAAATTGAAAATGGAGGCTGAGATGCAGCGTCTGTCGCAGCTCGTTCGCAGCTCAACAAAAAAAGACAAAGGCGGCCAAGAACTCAACATGGCAAGTACAAGTAGTAGTACTACTACTACTACTACTACTACTACTGCTACTACTACTACTACTGCTGCTACTGCTACTACTACTACTACTACTACTACTACTACTACTACTACTACTACTACTACTACTACTACTACTACTACTACTACTACTTACTACTACTCCTTCTCCTGCTCCTTCTTCCTCACCCGACAAAATACTACAACAACCATTCCCAAAGAGACCCCCCCCTCCCCAAGAGTACGAGTCCCCCCCCCCTCAATAGTCTTGGAATAGACCCCCCCCCCTCAATACTCCTGAAGTATGAACCCCCCCCCCCCTCAATACTCCTGGAGTATGGACCCCCCTCCCGTCCCCTCAATACTCCCGCATTAAGAACCCCCCCCCCTCAATAGTCCCAGAGAACGAACCCCCCCCACCCCGCTAACGGCGCTATCTGCCAAAGCCACCCAGACCCGAAGGGTCACTGACACCAGACTATTCAAGCCAAAACTTTTGGTCGGGGGGGGGGGGGGGCCTTACTATTCGGGCCGCAACATTATAACCTATAACTGCCTATAACTGTTCTACATGATCTCAATAAGAGTTTACGGTGCTTTAGGGTTCAAGGGTTTCAGGTTCACAGTTTTGAAGTTTAGGTCTGAACACTTCAGGGTTTGAGGAGTAATGGTGTCAGGAACTTGCACATCCAGAACCTAAGTGAAGACTCTTTCGGAATAGTAGCTTCAGGATTGAACCCTAAACAAATTTGGAGGATCATGGGACTAAGTAAGGCTATGAGTACCTTTATTGGGGTTACACGTCCTTACAGTTTTGGTTGCCTTGATTATCCCCGGAGCTACTAAATCCCGTGATCCTCTCGGTAGGGGTGTTGGGAGGTTCCGTCTCCCCATTCGACCAAATCATGAGCATGAGAGCAACCGAGCTTCCTGCACAGTTTGGAACTGAGATATGTAGGATGTGGGTGTTAAGGGCTCCTGATAGGGTTTAGAAGTTTAGGGTTTAGGGGTTTACGGCACAACAACATGCTACAAACGTAAGAGTTGATGGTGCGGAGACGGATGTGTTTCAGCCCTCGAGTACACGCCATGCCTCGCGCTGTGTATCCCAATCTCAACCGACACACCACAAACCTTTTAATTTAAACCCAAAAAACCTCAACCATAAATACTAATTACACCCTACACAATCAATCTCAAAGCCTGCAAAAACAATCCTTAAGCCTAGACCATGACCCTGAATCCGAGCCCGAAACCCTCCTCGCGGACGTGACCAAATCCTGCAGACGTCAACCCTAAACTCACATCCGGTTTAGGGTTAAATTTAAATTTAAGCTCCTAAAGTCTGAACCCGAAATCCTGAACCTTAACGCCATTCTAAATAAACGCCTTTAGATCACGTTGAGTTAAAGGAACCCAGACTTCCCTCACCACCAGCAGTCCTTCAGTTTGATGCTCAGATTCGCCTGACCATCCAAAGGAATTTTCACCTCGTCGCGGTGTCACAGCTCTAGGGTGTGAGGCTTTAGGGATGCAGGGTGTCAGGCAGGGTCCAGGGTTTGGTTTTTATGGTTACAGGGTTCATGCGTGAGGGTTTGGTATCGATGATTCGAGATGTATGCTCACCTCACCGAACATATTGATGCAGCTGTGGTTTCCCTTGACAAAGGTGTTGTTCACCAAGAGCAAGCCCTGCAGGCAAGCTCGGTCGGACTATTTTCTCGCCAGAGATGCGCGACGAGTTGTCTGTGCAAGGGGAATAGCTCGAATCCTCTAGGTCGTAGACAGGCCACTAGCTTCTCAGCCAGTACGGCAAATGTTCACTATCTCGAAGCATTCACGTGAGCCAAAATTGCGTTATGTGCAGAGAAGTTAAACTGGGCACTGGCGCATAGTCCGGCTAGCGGTCCCATGCGCAGGCAAGATACAGGTGAAGCGACAAGGTCCGCAAAACGGAGCCTTGCTCTATGTACATGGCTGACCATGACATTGTGCTCATAGCTGGTATTGCGACACCTACGAATTGGACTAGTCATCGAGGTCCGTTCGCAGTTCAGGGCCTCGGGGCTTAGGTTGTAGGGGCTTAAGCTAGAGTTGGGGCTTCCAACCGGTGAGCTAAACTGACTCTCTATGCAGCACAATGCAATACGGTACAGTACGAAACAAAACTGTGCAACACAAGTCAGTGCAAAACAGTACAGTACAGTACCGTATCATACATCACATCGCAACGCACAAAAGACAAGACGCAGTCCACGTTATGGAGTGCACACGATGGATTACGCAATGCAACACATGGCACAATGCAAGACACAATACACAATGCAAAACACACCGCACAATGAACACACAATAGAATTGACAGCACTACAATGCTGTGGTGCAACACGAACCAGAAATTCGACACAACGCAAGACAATACAAGGCCCTGTCGACATACCCCAACAAAAGCACATACTCGAATATAACTACATAGGTAAGTAAGTGAAGCTAAACATTGATGCATAAATCTAAACTTGGTGTGTGCGTCGACCCTCCCGAAAAATTTTAAGGGATCTGGGCCTGGGAGCCTCGCATATGATGATGACTGATGATGATGATGGTGATGATGATGTTGCGGCCCATGAACCTTGAACAAGCCTCGGAACCTGATGACATTGATGACAGATGATGACGATGAGGACTCCACGGGGCATGCTTAATTTTCCAAGCCTCGATGATGACTGGTTACCCTCAGTCAGGGAGTCTGTGTTCGACTGAATCTGCGACGGAACAAGACTCGCCGCAAGCAACCCAGCTCCCTGGGCTGAGACCTGTGCTGAGCCTGACAACCCAACGAACTATTCTACCTGGGAGCCTGGGAACCTAGGAACCGAACCTTTGCCGAGCCTCGTGATGATTGTCAGATTGTCATGTCACGGCACGTGTCTCAGCCCAGCCAGGGAGGGAGTCTTGCGGCAGATCTTCAGCCGCAGATGCATTCGGCAACAGTCGCAAAGCCGGACTGGTGAGGAGCAGCATCATCATATTATGATGATGTTTCTCCTAACCAGTCCGGCTTCCCGAGTAGCGGTTGAGAGCATGCCGAGCTTGCACACGCTCTCCTGCAGCCCGTGTCTGGGAACAGGCAAACAGGCAAAGAGTGTTAGTCTCCAGCAACCTTTTAGAAACTGTCAGACCAATCCGGCTGGACTACAGACAACTTGCAAGTCAACTCTACAAGCCCGTGGCACGCATATCCTCTGGGCCCCCTGGGCCTGGAAGCCTCGCATATGACTGATGACTGATGATGATGATGGTGATGATGATGTTGCGGCCCATGAACCTTGAACGGGCCTGGGAACCTGATGACATTGATGACTGATGATGGTGATGATGATGTTGTGGCCCATGAACCTTGAACGGGCCTGGGAACCTGATGACATTGATGACAGATGATGACGATGAGGACTCCACGGGGCATGCTTATTAAATTTATTTAAATTTATTATTGTAGCCTCGATGATGACTGTCATGCCACGGCACAGGTCTCAGCCCAGCTATTCTACCTGGGAGCCTGGGAACCTAGGAACCGAACCTTTCCCGAGCCTCGTGATGATTGTCATGTCACGGCACATGTCTCAGCCCAGCCAGGGAGGGAGTCTTGCGGCAGATCTTCAGCCGCAGATGAATTCGGCAACAGTCGCGAAGCCGGACTGGTTAGGAGAAACTTAATTAATTTCATTTGCGATTGCCGAGCTGAACCTGGAAGCCGATACGACACGGGCTGAAGGAGAACATGCCGAGCTTCGACACGCTCTCCTGCAGCCCGTGTCTGGGAACAGGCAAACAGGCAAAGAGTGTTAGAACCCAGCAACCTTGTGAAACCTAAAACTCTCAGACCAATCCGGCTGGACTACAACTTGCAAGTCAACTCTACAAGCCCGTGGCACGCATATCCTCTGGGCCCTCTGGGCCTGGAAACCTCGACTGATGACTGATGATGATGATGATGATGATGGTGATGATGATGATGTTGCGGCCCATGAACCTTGAACGGGCCTGGGAACCTGATGACATTGATGACTGATGATGGTGATGATGATGTTGCGGCCCATGAACCTTGAACGGGCCTGGGAACCTGATGACATTGATGACAGATGATGACGATGAGGACTCCACGGGGCATGTGTTAAAATTATATCTTTATTTAAAATTTAATTAGCCTCGATGATGACTGTCATGCCACGGCACACGTCTCAGCTGGGTTCAGACTCCCTGACTGAGGGTAACAGACTGAGCCTGGCAACCCAACGAACTATTCTACCTGGGAGCCTGGGAACCTAGGAACCGAACCTTTCCCGAGCCTTGTGATGATTGTCATGTCACGGCACATGTCTCAGCCCAGCCAGGGAGTCTTGCGGCAGATCTTCAGCCGCAGATGAATTCGGCAACAGTCGCGAAGCCGGACTGGTTAGGAGAAACTTAATAATTTCATTTGCGGTTGCCGAGCTGAACCTGGAAGCCGATACCACACAGGCATGCAGGAGAGCATGTCGATTCGACACGCTCTCCTAGCCCGTGTGGGAACAGGCAAACAGGCAAAGAGTGTTAGAACCCAGCAACCTTGTGAAACCTTCAACTCTCAGACCAATCCGGCTGGACTACAACTTGCAAGTCAACTCTACAAGCCCGTGGCACGCATATCCTCTGGGCCCTCTGGGCCTGGAAACCTCGACTGATGACTGAAGATGATGATGGTGCTGGTGATGATGATGTTGCGGCCCATGAACCTTGAACGGGCCTGGGAACCTGATGACATTGATGACTGATGATGGTGATGATGATGTTGCGGCCCATGAACCTTGAACGGGCCTGGGAACCTGATGACATTGATGACAGATGATGACGATGAGGACTCCACGGAACTATTATTATATTTTATCAGCCCAGGGAGCTGGGTTGCCAGCGGAGCAATTCAAAGTTCTGCCGAACACAGACTCCCTGACTGAGGGTAACAGACTGAGCTTGGCAACCCAACGAACTATTCTACCTGGGAGCCTGGGAACCTAGGAACCGAACCTTTCCCGAGCCTCGTGATGATTGTCATGTAACGGCACATGTCTCGGCCCAGCCAGGGAGGGAGTCTTGCGGCAGATCTTCAGCCGCAGATGAATTCGGCAACAGTCGCGAAGCCGGACTGGTTAGGAAAACTTATTTTAGCCGAGCTGAACCTGGAAGCCGATACCACACGGGCACGGCATGCAGGAGAACACCTCGAGCTTCGACACGCTCTCCTGCATGCCCGTGAACCTGGGACGGCGCGGAAGCGGCAGAATCTCTGCCGCTTCCACACTGTTTTTCTCCAGAAATTGTGACACCTAAAACTCTCAGACCAATCCGGCTGGACTACAACTTGCAAGTCAACTCTACAAGCCCGTGGCACGCATATCCTCTGGGCCCTCTGGGCCTGGAAGCCTCGCATATGACTCAGATGACTGATGATGATGATGATGGTGATGATGATGTTGCGGCCCATGAACCTGGAACGGGCCTGGGAACCTGATGACATTGATGATCGATGATGACGATGAGGACTCCACGGCGCATGCTTAATTTTCCAAGCCGTTGAGCCTGGACCTGCAATTGATGTTCCGCGTGCACGCCGTGCATTCCCCGCAGCATCAATTCGAACCAGGTGTTTCCAGTGGAAACACCTGGTTCGATTGATGCTGCGTGTGGCGCCTGGGGCCTGAAGTCTGTTGCTGCTCTGTTGCATGCACCGGCAGTGAACATCCACGGAACGGCCACCGGCAAGGTTTCCATGTCCCCAGACTCCCTGAGCGACTCTGCCACGGTCATCTGTCCGCCCTTAAAGGGTGGACAGATGACGGTGGCAGAGGCGAACCCAGGCGAACAACCATGGAGCCTGGCAGTAACCTTAAAATCTTAAATATTGGGAGCCTGGGAGCCTGGGAACCTATGACTAGGAACCAGTCTCAGCAACTCAGGCCACAAAGTCGGAGCGTCGGCTGGCGCCGGTGTGGGCACCAAAGCAGCCTGGCAACACGGGGAGCGACTGGGTTGCCTATCAGCAGTGACAGTGAAATTACATCATCCAGGGTCCTTTTAGGTGGGATGTTGGGCACCCACGAAGCAACCCTTCAATGCATAGAAAAGACCCTTCAATGCAACTTTTTTGAGAATCAGCGCGTTCAAGGGTCACAAGGTTGCATCCAAGGGTCCCTCAAAGACTAAGATGCTGCTGGATGTTGGCTGGGCACCCACGATAAAACCCTTCAATGCATCCAAAAGACCCTTCAATGCACCTCTCTTAAGAATCAGCGTGTTCAAGGGTCAAAAGGTTGCATCCAAGGGTCCCTCAAAGATGCTGCTGGATGTTGGGCACCCACGATAAAATTCCTTCAATGCAACTTTTTTGAGAATCAGCGCGTTCAAGGGTCACAAGGTAGCATCCAAGGGTCCCTCAAAGATGCTGGATGTTGGGCACCCACGATACAACCCTTCAATGCATCGAAAAGACCCTTCAATGCACCTCTCTTAAGAATCAGCGCGTTCAAGGGTCAAAAGGTTGCATCCAAGGGTCCCTCAAAGATGGCTGGATGTTGGGCATCCACGAAGCAACCCTTCAATGCTTCCGGGTTTAGGGTTTAAGGTTTAGGGTTTAGGGGTTTAGGGTTTAGGCTGGTTTAGGGTTTAGGGTAAAAGACCATTTCAATGTACCTTTTTGGAGATTCAGCGCATTCAAGGGTCACAAGGTTGCATCCAAGGGTCCCTCAAAGATGCTGGATGTTGGACACCCACGAAGCAACCCTTCAATGCATCGAAAAGACCCTTCAATGCACCTTCTCGGAGATTCAGCGCATTCAAGGGTCACAAGGTTGCATCCAAGGGTCCCTCAAAGATGCTGGATGTTAGTAGGCATCCACGAAGCAACCCTTCAAGGCATCCAAAAGACCCTTTAATGCACATGTTTTAAGAATCAACGCAGTCAAGGGTCACAAGGTTGCATCCAAGGGTCGCTGACTGTCAAGCCATTATGACCGCCATGTACCAGACCCTGCACTCAATCAAGTCAGGCTGGCCAGACGGATGTCGAGATTTCGGGCGCCAACTGCAGCAACACCACTTCCTTGCCATTGTCAGTACAAAGACCCTTTAACTTCAGCAGAAGTTTCAATAGACCAATTGCATCCAAGGGTCTTTTTAAGCGGAATGTTGGGTACCCACGAAGCAACCCTTCAATGCATCAACAAGACCCTTCAATGCACCTTTTTTGAGAATCAGCGCGTTCAAGGGTGACAAGGTTGCATCCAAGGGTCTTTGTAGTAGGGATGCGGGATGTTGGGCGCCAACGATACAACCCTTCAATGCATCCCAAAGACCCTTCAATGCACCTTTATTGAGAATCAGCGCGTTCAAGGGTCACAAGGTTGCATCCAAGGGTCTTTGTAGGCATGCGGGATGTTGGGCACCCACGAAGCAACCCTTCAATGCATCGAACAGACCCTTCAATGCACCTCGGAGAATCAGCGCATTCAAGGGTCATCAGGTTGCAATTCAAGGGTCGATGCATCACCCGTCAAGCCATTATGACCGCAGTTTAGCAATTTGCACCTTTTCTTCTGTGAAGCTCTTTGGGGCTGCCAAAATCCGAAACTGGTAAAACATACCTGAACAGCTTAGAAACACACGCTGGCACACGAATGGGGAACAAACCATAGCGTCGCAACCAACAGCATCTTCAAATCTGATGGAGGCTCAAAAAGGGGACATTTTACTCACACCATGGGATATTTGAATCATGCACAACAAAAAAGCCCATGTTTAAGCCGCCAATACCCCTCATCACACGATTTCTGGCCCCTACCGTGCTACTGCCTGACCGGGTGCTTCAAAGATGCGCGCGCATTACAAATCAGCTCATAACAGGCCCAAAGGGACTACTTGACATGTCGATTTGTTGATGTTGTCACCGCTGGCGTCACTGAAGAATCAAACTGGAAACTAAACGCACACTGCAGAAAAAAGCAGTGCCATATGCGATTTATGCAAGTGCTGGCATCCAAACATGTTCATGAGCACCACAACGCAGTTACAACAAGAGAAACATGTCTCAAACTGGAAACCTAGCAACTCAGCTCCATCTTCAAAGTGTCAGGGCTCATCCTTAACGACAAAGGCAACGTCCCTGCTCACATACAGTTGCAACTTACCTAGGACCTAAAACTACGAACAGCCACGGATTCCCCACAACACAATTTTCACGAAAGCGGTGACCTTGGTGAAGTGAGACTCAAACCTACCTGTCACTACCCTTCACAATTTAGCAGCGCTTTGCCGCTAAAGAAAAGGCTACCCACTTTGAGTCACACTGGCCAGGCCGGCGCCAAGAGAGAGCAATGCAAGCATTGCCACACGCCCCCGCACTGGGGTGCACATGGACACATGCCTGGCACGCTCCTCTGGCCCGCCCGACTTCCACCCTACACCCTACAGCAGCGGCTAGAGGAGCACTGTCAGAGTCACGTCTCCAAATGAGACTCACCACCGGCGCTGCTGTAGCCCTGCGAAAGAAGTTCCCCATCAAACCTTCAGGCTGTCGGGGTGGTCTTCTCCATCAGCTTGCTGATCTCAACCATTCGGTCCACATTCTTCCCGCCCGCTTTTGTTGCATCAATGGCCACCTTGTACTGCTTGTGTGACGTACTCAAGAAGAACGACTTGCGGATTCCATAGATGTGGACTGATGGCATCGCGACCTCCATCACCAACCATCCTGTCGGGATGTACAGTGCCTGGCGTGGCTTGAGGGTGGCCTGCACGATTTTGACACCATGGTCGAGGAGCTTCTTCAGGTCCTCTGCAGCATACGCTTGCACAATCTCTGAAGCCTTCATGAGATCATGTTCACTCGTGATTGCACCGGTTTTGTAGAGCACGGCGAGCAATGTCTCCATGTTGAACAAGAGATGGAACACTTCACCAGCAACCTGAGCCTTCAGCAGGCAAGCATGGTTGGGTGTTGCGGCCAAGGACTTGAGTGTGCTCGAGCATCCGTACATCCAGCACTGACCCATGAAAGTCTGTCCTCCCGCCACGCTGGAAATATCAACAGCGGCCTCGGATGGAAACAACTTCTTCAGCACCCCTGCGATCTCATCTTTGCCCTGATTCTGCTGGACGGGAAAAGTCACACACTCCATCTTCGCAGTGACCTGTGCCTTCTTGTATTGGGCGCCCCAGGATGCCAGGGCCCTTTGAACCGGTGTCTCGATGAGAACCAGATTCAGAGCTGCACACGAGCTCATCAGCCAAGGCCGTGTCCAAGCATCGTCGAAGGGGCTTGCAAGCTGATCCTCCTTCATTTCAGCTACTGTAGGCACATCCTTGCAATCAGCAGTGAACAAGGCCAACTGCGTCTCACTTGTCTTCTGCTTGCGCTTCTTGATCTCAGCTGCTGCATCAGCGGCCTCCTGCTTGACCTTGCGAAGGGCATCCTTCTCCTTCTGGGATGCCTCGCGTTTCTTTGATCTGGTTTCCTCGGAAACAACGGACCTGAGATGCTTCTGCAAATCATCCGCAGCAGACTTGAAGTTGCCACTCAGCTGTTTGACAGCTTTTTCCGCTTTAGCCCACTGCGTCTTGCAGGCCAAAAACTTCTCCGCCGTGTCCACATCCAACACCTGGTCCCTCAACTCATGGAGGTCCTCAATGCTCATGAGGTCCGTGAGCTCACCATCCCAGCACTTGTGAGCCAGAACCCCAGGATCTTCGATGAACTCCTTGAAGCTTTGATTTCTCTTGCTAGCTGTCTCTGTCTGGAGCCGTGCTTCCTGCTGACCTGTCATTTCTGACTTCGGGCTTCCTGGAGCAACAGCAGAAGCTTCTACAGGTGCAGGTTCCGAAGGCTCCGAGATCAGTTGCTGAATGACCTGGGGCTTACCAAGCACTTGCGCCATCATGCGGTGGCGAGCCTGGAGAACCTTCAGGAAGGACAGAGCTGCTCGGTCTTTGGCCTTGAGGTTGGCAGGATGGTCCCTCCACTTCTCCACTGCCGGCTCGAAGAATGCAATGTTCTTGTTCAGGTCGTTGAAGAGCTTGTTGATGCTGGAATCCATCATGCGGTTGAGGTTTGGCCTGTCACGTGCAAGGTTGACAGGCTTGGCTGGCTTTTCCGGGGTGATCTTGGGGCCATCAGCGTTCTTCTCAGCCTTTCCAGGGGTGGTGGGCGCTCGAGGTCCTGTCTCCAGGTCCTTGCGGGCAGCCTCATTCATCTGAAAGAACTCATCCGCAAAACAGGCTTCCTGCTTGCCAAGGTGTCTCTGGAGCATATCCCTTTGCTCCAGAGTGGGATTTCTGATCTGGTCCGAGCCTTCAATCACGTGATTGTCAACGTAGTGTTCTCGTTCCCGCATTTTCATGTGCTGCGCCGGTACGTAGAGCTGCTCAGCACCACGAAAGCCCTCCTTGTCACGCTGGATGCTCCTGTCATTGTAGAGTTCGAGCCAGTACCTTAGCAGTCTGTCTCACACACGACACAGAACCAATCAAGCGCGGCGCATCAAGTCATGAAGCAAGCAAGGCACTGTAGACAAGAAGTTCCCAATTGGAATCGCTAGCAAGCAAGGCCCTCAAGGCCTAAACAAGTTTCAAATTAGAAATCGCAACAACACTGGCAAAGCACTGCGCTGCATCTTAGACTGAAATGCTCACGCTGAACTCAACACAATTATGGCAGGCAAGCTGCTCCTTGGACTCCTCCTCGTCCAGTCCAAGAACGTTCTCGCAGTGCTTCATAAAGGCACGCTTCGTCATGGCAATGTTCTTACGGGAGTCCTTGGTGCTTGCTCGAATTCCCCGCGTTCGCACAAATTGTGCAAAGTCGATCAAGCTCTTACGACGCATTTCCGGAGGGTTGTCGAGCGCGAAGCTCTCGACAAACTCCCCCGCACGTTGATCGTTGCGCATTTCTTCGTCGAACGCCTCCTGCTCCTCCTGGCTGATGTCCTTACGGGAGCGTCTCTGATACATGATGTTATCATAAGCACGCTTGTGATCACCTTCCGCACAGAAGCGGGCCCCTTGATATTTCACGAACGGGCAGTTGGGGCAGATGCACAGCGAAAGCGGGCCTGACTTGCCCGCTTTCGCAGTATCCTTGGATGCTCTCCCCCGCCCTCTACCGCCTTTTCCACCCCTACCTCGACCCCTTGCCCTCACAGCGCCAGTTGGCTGCTCTGCATTTCCATCTGCCGTTTCAGCAGGATTCTGCAGCAGCCCTGACACATCACCTTCCGTGTCCAACTCAAACTCAGCCATGCTACGGTGCTGCTACGCGCTGCTGTTGTTCTTCGTAAGAAGACCTAAACAGCCTAAACACAACGCTGCACAGGAGAAGACTCTTACAAACACAAATGGCTGCGGGCACCAACTCAGTAACTCCGCTCTGCACACAGCACAGCTTGGGATTTGACGACCAAGAATCTGAATGCATCAAGTGATCATGCTCTACACTGGGCAACATGCTCTGAAACAAAGTTGTTTTGACTTTGAGCTCACATGAATCCGTGCTACCGAAGGCCTTCCCCAACCTCCCGCAAAAGAAAAGACCATGCCAAGGCAAGGTCAGCTCGTCAAACCTACCACTGAGTCAGGGCAAGCTTTGAAGCAGCTCAAGGCTGAGGATCTGATGTGAAGATTGCCCACACCATGACAAGCAGCCTATCCTAGCCTACAGAGGGCTCAGCTCTTTAAGAGCAAGCACACGCTGCTCATTAATGGCAACATCGGTCAAGCTCGCATCGAAATGCTTCTGCCAGTGGCGGCACAAGACTCGAACATGAAGCCAGCCGGCCGCGGCGCCACCAAGCATTTTCTTGAAACAGATGGAGTGAAACACATTGTCCCGGTAAGGGTGCTTCACCACAAAGGTGCAACTTTGGAGATTCACTGTGATGCATGTGTCAGCTCTGCTCACCCAGTACGAGTGCCTTCCGGATGTCACCTCCTGAGGCAGTGCATCTGGCGGTAAGGCGTCCAAGATGCTGTTGTACTTCACGTCAAGCGAACCATACCGGCCATTCACGTTGCACGGCCGTGCTTTCGCCTTGGGGCGGGCAGCGCCTGATGGCGCTCTGGACTGTCCGGAGGCCCGCGGCAAAGCCACGACAGCATGCCCAGGCCCATCCTGCTCAGGAGCTTGGGCTTAGGGTTATGTTGGCTTATATGTCATAAAGGGCCTTGGGTCAGTAGGTTAGCGGGTGTCTTAGAGCCAGTCTTAAAGGGTTGCGAACGGTCCTCGACACGTGGAGCAGGGGAGCGGGAGCGACCACCGTCTGCCATTGAGAGCACGGAACAAGTACCCTAGCGGCTTGAACCCCAAGAAGTTTCTAGGCTTGAGCGGCTTCAAGCCAGAGCAAAGCAGCATCCTGAGCGAGTCCAGGCACAAGGAGTGATGAGTAACACGCAGCCACTCTGCAGAGCAAAGCCCATCCCCATCTTTTACAGAAGCAGCAACGGAACTACTCGGTTTACAGCGGCACATGTTCCTTCTACACTTCTACAAAGCTTACACAAAACTTGAGGTGCCAGCATCTGCTATGCTGCCAGCCACATCATCATCATCATCATCAGGGACTCTTTCAGAAATTGCTGGGCTAAGTCTGCAAGGTTCCCGCCTCACCGTGTGCGCCAGCACATACAAGTACCAAGCCATCACAGCAGGCAGGCTCTGGCTGTTTCCGCTAAGGGAAGTCTGCTGCCTCTCAGAGACTTTAGAAACGAACGGAGCAGCAGGCCAAGAAAACTCGTTGCAGAGATGCTGGAAGGGGTTGAAGCCAAGTGACAAAAACCTCTCCATGGGTGTGGCAATGCGCCCACTGGAAAACTCAAGGATTGTTCCATGTGTGAGCAAGGTCGGCCAGTACGGACCACTGGACGGTCCCGGGCTGCCAGGCCAGTGATCTACGTCAGCGAAATATGCCTGGTCAAGCAATCCTGCCCTTTCGCTTTGCAGCGCCTTGTACTGTTCAACCCGCTGCATCTGCGTGGGAGTCAGCACCTGGCTCCACATGTCTTCACCCCTGAGCGGCACATCATCACTGACACGCCCTTTCTGCCTCCTATGCTTGTCTACCCAAACTCTGACATTGTCATCTGGTTCCTGGAAAAAGATCTTGCCACTGAGCTCACAGCGACGCTTGAAGATGGAAGTGAAGTGACTCTGAATTTCACTTTGATCTGGGCCTACCCAGATGAGTTCTCGCAACGACAGGCCACACGACAGCCTGCGTGTTCTTGCGGTCGGCCATCCATGGTCTTCTGGCCCGGTCAGCACATGAAGCATGCGGTGCGAATCAGCCAAAGGTTCTACCAAGCACCCCTGAACATCGAACAAGGGTGTGCACTCCTGGAAGAAAAGTGATTCTTGCCCGGTGCGTGCTAGCCAGTGTCGCTGCGCCAGCCAGCACAGAAGAGCTCTCTGCGATTCATGCCCATGCCGCTGTTGCTTTCCCTCACTGCTCCAGGCCTTGCACTCATTGCCAGCAGTGTTGATGGCCACAGCAAGGCTACTCGCATCACGAGGCTTGTTGACGACACAGGCACGATTGTGCTGGCAGCACAGCGATGCATGGTCCTGCCAGGGTCAGGTGCACTACTCACTACTTGATAGTGGCATGGAACATGGGGATATAATGGATTGGGAAAGGAGTTCAAAGGAAACTTTACTCTGGCCGCCCAGCCTGATGAATAGCCCAGGACTCATTCTCCAGCAACCAATCACGCATCTCGCGAAAGCCTGTTACCCGTTGCTTCTCGGTGGCTGCAGGATTGACGTCGCATTCAGACAACCAGCCCTGCGCAACTGGATCGATTTGCTGCACAATGTCCTTAAACACACAACTGGCACCACCGTCTTGGTGCTCTGCGATGCCGCAGAGCACCTTCTGCGCAGCTACGCTAATGTCACAGCTTCGGGTGTGCGTGTGCAACACAGAGACTCCTGTTTCTGATGCAATAGCCAGGGCCATGCACCTGAGAGCTTCTCGTTCAGCGCCTACACCTGAATAGTCAGAGGAGTGCAGCAAGCCATGCTCCAGCAAGTGAAGCAGCCTCTGCTTTCTGGTAGGATCCGAACAGACTGTTGCCACCAACTCTTTTGGAAACATTAGGAGTTGCTCCAAGCTGGAGGGCCCGGGAGGATAGTCATGCTCCGCAAGCACGTGTGAAAGCGAGCCTCGCCTGATTTTCTTACTTGCCTGCTGGAACACGGGGGTATGCTTCAGGATGTTCTCCTCATCAGACCAGCTCTCCCTCTTGCGGAAAGCCATTGTCACTACTTCGCGTTGTGCGACTCTAGAAGACTACAACACAACCACACATGTAGATGTCCACCATGCAACATCATGAGAGCCTGCAGTGGTAAGGCACTATGGCTTTTGAACCACACATATGATACTAGGCCTACAGAAGGTGTGGATTCAGTGTAGATAAGCATACACGAGAAAGAAAGCCCAACAAGAGTCACAACAGTGCTACTTGCATAACTACATCAATTGCTTGAGCATGCAGTCGGACAGCATGTTAGTTAGCAGTGAGTAGCCCTCAGCACAACACACACACACACACACACACGAGACACACACACACACACACACACACACATAAGCAGGCCTGAATTGGCCTGCAGCACTACTTCCTCTACTTCCTACGCCCACTACACCTGCTATGCTGCTATGTTCTGTTGTTGCAGGACTCAGAGACATGACTTGGTTGCACAACATGGATGGATGCCAGCAGAAGCACAACTTCCTTGAGAGCCACCAAACTTGCCGCTATTCCGCAAACCAAGCAGAATTAAGCAAAAGTCCGCCCGGTAAGCCAGAAAGAGGCCCTGAGAGAGGCCAAGGCACAGAGCGCACGAAACGCACGAAACGCACGAAACGCACGAAATTGGGCCCCGGACCCTCGAGCGCTCAGGCTGCCGCAGCCCACCTGAAACCTTTGCCCAAAGCAACCCAGAAAAACCCATGGCCCCGGAATCCTCTCCCACACAACCCCAAAACCTAGAACTAGACCTGGGCCAGGGGCCCACAAGCCCTGAATCGCTCGAGGGTGTTTTGGTCTGCACGAAACGCACGAAACGCACGAAACGCACGAAACGCACGAAATGCTTGGCTAGGTAAAAGCTTATTTTGTATGCCAAATATTTAAAAAGTAGCTGATTATTATAAGACTATTGTATTTCGTAGGAACCCAAAAGAAAAACCTTCAAAACCAGCTAATTCCTCCCAGGCAAAAGAAATCCATGCAAAGCGCGCGTTTCTCCTGTACGCAGGTCTCTCTGCCCTGCGCCAGAGCCTAAGGACCTAAGACCTGGGCTTAAGGGCCGCAAACCGCAAACCTGAGCCTAAACACAAGGCTGAGCCCCAAGCTGCGTGCGTGGCCACCTAGGCAGGACTGGCAGGCAGCAGCCGGCACTTTCCAGCGGCCAACCGGTCCGCATGGAGAAGATGCCCAGCTGCACCTCCATCCTCCTAGTCGCCGGCATCAGCAGCAAGCTCCGCTTCAATTTCATCCAAAGAAGGCAGACTGTTAACGTTGTACGCCGGCAAAACGGTGTCCTTGAACAACTCCAGATGCTCTTCTGCTGTGGACACTCGTTTGCCCAGGAGCAACCAATACTTCAGCACATGCTGGACACACTCTGAGCCACCGAATTTGGTGGATCTCTTTTTTGTGCATTTGTGGCCACCTTCGTTGTGGCCTGGAATCGCACATGTCACTTGCCAGTGCTGCGGACGGTCTTCTGGTCCGACAGGTGTGAAGAGGTGCGGCCCCCATCTGAAGCCAAGCTGTCTCCGCCTAACACGGCGGGCAGGAGCTGGATCCGATGACCCTGCTGCTCGCACTGGTTCTGAGCCTGAAGAGCTGCTACTGGTGGTGGAGCTGCTGGAGTTGCTGCTACTTGTCGTGGAACTACTAGACGATGCACTGGAGAGGCTGGGCAACCCCTCTTCTTCCATGAGTTCATCACCGTTGCCATCATCTGCATTGAACACTGACATCTCTTCCAACTGCTGCAGCGCATCGTCTACGGCAGCCTCTTCATGTAGTGGGTCAACAGCAGCTGCAGCATCAGTAGCCGGAGAGGCTGATACTGAGATCTTGCCACGCACGCGTCTCAACGGGGCCGGCGGTCTAGGCCTTGGCTGCTCCGTGAAATCTACCTCGTCTTGATGGCGAAAGGCACCGGCCCCTTTGCGCTTGCCAGTCCCTAATAGCATCTTCTGGGGCGGCTGAATGCCTAGCAGCCGCATGTACTCTGATTCTTCCGCAACATGAGGAACCTCTCCATCTTCTGCCACCAGCAGCAAAGCGAGAAGATAATGACGAGGGGTAACCACTTGACCCTCGCGTGTGTACCATGTCTTGTTTTCGCCAGGCTTATACATCGCCTTGGTCTGTCGGAGAGCCTTCTGCTCTTTGCGTGTGACCACCTCATGTTTCCAGCCTTGAGCATCCATTTCAAGGATGAGCTGAAAGTCCAAGGCTTGCCTAAGATCACCATTGTGCCTGCTGAGAAGAACGCTCTCATCTTCCAAAGTCACACACTGCTCAACATGCTCAAGACCCGTAGAAGAGAGTTTCCACGGTGGGCCTGCAACAAGTCCGTCTCCAGCGAGTATGTCAAGGGCCTCGGCTACGTCGTCGGAAGTCTCTGCTGTGAGAGCAAATCCCTCTGGCATCTGGATCATGCGTTGCAACACATCAACCACAGAAGCGTGCTTGTCCTTGGGAATGGCGGCCATCAGCTCAACAGAAAGAGAGTGAGTCAAGCCTGTTTTGGCCTTCCATTTTCTAACCTGCAGCAACTCTTTCAATGATAAGTTGTTGATATACATGGCCAAGCCAGCATCCTGTGCATCCACCGACATGGACCCCGGCAGCGCAGCTTTCAGGGACACTTGGACCTGTTTGTTTTGCACATCCATAGACATGACACGGTGCAACTTCACAAGCCAAAGACCGGAAAGGCAAGCAGCATGCTGCACTCTTGTGCGCCGAAACCGAGCTGGCGCATCCTGAAGAATGGACCAGAAGAGAATTTCCTTGGTCAGCACATCACCGCCTCCCTGCAAATGCTGCTGCAAAGACACAGCTTCTGCCTCTGGCAACGTGGGCCAAGACAAAGCCAGCTGCTCAGAGGGGTCCCAGGTTAAGTGCCCGTCTACACTTGCAGAGTTGCCACAGTTTGGCGCCAGCAGCCCACGAAGTGAATAAATGCTTGACGTGTTGAGAGGCATTGACAGGAAAAGATCTTTCTTGGCAAGAGAACGCAAGGCTTTGAGCGCACTCGCATGCCGAAGGTTCGCTGCATCCTGCACTAACCCTTCCTCAGCTGGCACTGCAGGCACAGCAACAAGGCTGCGCTCCTCAACTGTTCGCAGGCTGACGTTGGCAGGAAGCGACAAGGTATACTTCGAGTATGCGTCGTCATGATACACCAACGCAAGGGTTCTGTTGCTCTGACGTCCGGTGAGCCACCCAGCCTGGCAAGCGTGGGGCAAGGACAAGCCAAGGGTTTCTGCGATGATGGTTCGGCGCGTCAACTTGGCAACAACGTCTGCAAGCTGCTCCAGGCCATGAGGTTCAATCTTCAACCATGTGCGAATTTCTGGCAGACGGTGACAAAGACTGACATACGGCGCCCCATGATGCGTGGCCTGCGTTACCCCTCTCTTGGTTCTGGCATGTTGGCCCTCGACTCTCCACGCACTGGAGAACATCAGCTGCATCTCAACGGCAACAGAAGACAGGTAAGGGAAATTCCCGCACCAATGCCCCCCGAGCTCCAAAAACTCCAAACATTCAGACTCATGAGCGCGAAGTTGGACAACTCGAGGATGCGTGCACTGGGATTGCAAACAACGTCTCAAAAACTTACATCGGATCTGCGGATCTTTGTGCCCTAGTGCTGCCAAGGCGTGGGGAGGTTCACTCCAAAAGGCTAGTTTCAGGATATAAGTAGAGAGCATGTACTGACGTGCGGACTCATAGTCAGCTAGAAGTTCATGAACCTCTGCTTTCGACAAGGATCGTGGCAAACGCAACTCCAAGTATGTCATGCTGGAAGCTAGCTTCTCCTGTAGCACATGGAAAAAGTCCCCAGCCACCAGCTCTGGGCAGCGGCGGCCACGAAGTGGGCAGGCAGCCCATATCCGGAGGACGTCAGCTCCAACATTCTCAGTGGCAAGATGAGAATGACATGGGCATCCATTGATCCAATCAATCGCTGACGCCTGTGCCTGTGCAATTTCCAACATGACACCGAGACAGGCCCACCAGTGCTCACTCAGCAGAGCATCATTTGCTCCCGGCAAGTGCACGCCATGTTCTTCCTCACCTTCCTCGTCCTTCGGGTCTGGTACTTTTCGACCCTTGAGAAATTTCTCAAGGCTCCAGCATGACCGGAGCGCGGTTTCCAATTTATGTACTTGTTTGATGGCATGGGCAATGGTGCCCCATCGCTTCTCGTGCACAGTGCAACTGAAAGTTGCTACCTCTGACCTGAAAGCAAGTCCCAAGCCCGTACCAAAAACGTTCTCAAGCAGCTTCTGCTTAGACTCTCGCGATGTGAGGAGCTTGCAAACACGCTTCAGCCCAACAAGGAAGTCCGCGTACGTCTTCATGACCCCATGCAGATCTTCAGTGATGTTATGAATGATATGGTTTAAATCAGGGCCTTCCAAACAAGAGCTCAGGTCACAAAGATCATTGTTTGGACTTGAGAACAGGTTCGGATCATCCCCCTGAGCCAGAACGCCTGAGACCATGTCCACGTCCTCGTGCGGAGCACCTTCCTCTGCACCAGCAGCAAACACGTCCTGGTCACGTGGGCCCTGCAAGGCGTCATCCTTGCTCGAACGATGCATGTATGGCAAGATCTCACTGAGAGCTGCAGGCTTGATGCGCACTAAGCCAACTTCGGTACCATAGTCTGTATGAAGAGACACAATGCTGCGCAGCAACTCGGCCAACATGTCTTGAGAGTCAGAGAGCAAACCGAACGTATGAACGAAAACACGAAGCTTGGGCAAGAGACTTGTGCGCCCATTCCCAAGCATGGCTGGCGGTGGGACATGCCATAGAATCTTTGCTTCAATGTCGTTCATAACGGCTTTCTCTTCATGGCACTGCTCAATCCTGGCCTCCTCATCTGGGTTGCTGCAAAGGTCGCGCAGCTTCTCCAAGTCCTGCAACAACAATGGCCATGATATGATGGTCATGACATCACACTACTGAAAGGTTTCGCTTCAGCTAAAGCTAA